TTCTTCTTCTTCTTCTTCTTCTTCTTCTTCTTCTTCTTCTTCCTACTCCTACTCCTACTCCTCCCCCCTCTCTCTTTATAATGTGTCTTAAGGGACAAATCTCTACCCACACACATGTTATAGTTAGTTCTGAATAGACTCACATAATCACTGCAGTAAGTATTACTAGGTCTGTATAAAGCTTGAAAGGATGTTTTAGTTTCTACTGTTGCTTTGAATCTGCTGAAAAGTAAAGTGGCCCCTTACTTCCCAAAGTAAGAGAAGTCTCAGTACTCTTTTTGCTTTCTTGCTTTCACGTCAGAGGCCATCTCCATAGTATTTAACTGCTGAAAGAGTAACATGCATCGAAACATTTTCAAATTTTGGAAATTGGTGATTGAGTTCTCAAGGTGACCCAAGCTGCTGTGAAAAGAAAGATCACTGGCAAACTCCCTGTAGAGTCCTTGGTTCTCTCTGAGCTTGATTGCAGATGTTTCAGTATCCAACTAGGTAGCATCATCAGTGTGCACCACGGACTACACAGTTCAACCCTGAGCTACATATATTCTCTTCTATTGAAACTCCCAGTACTTATTGCAATGGACTGGGAACAGATTTATCATGATAAAAGAAGGCAACTATAATATGTGGGACTTCGCTTAGTTATAAAGTTAATGATTCCCAACATATCACATTAATTTCAAAGGGTATAATTTCAGGAAGCTACCTCTAGTTCCAAATATATACACAAATGAAATAATTCTGTCCATAAACATTTAGTAGAAGTTTTCAAATTATTTGATGCTTCAGGTAAATAAATACAGGAAGGAGCTAGGTTGAAGGAAAATGGTAATACTTGCCATCATTGCGATTGTTGCTGACTTTTCTTGAATTTTCTCTCTTCTGGAAGTTATTTTCAGATTTGGCATCTGGAAAGGATCAGAACCTATTCCTTTCAACCAGCATAATATAATGTCTGCTGACAACTGCTTTGGTTCTGTTATATACATGCTTTGTGAACCAAGGCAATGACCAGTGGGAGTGCTTTTTGCATAAAGTGATGATGCCACTGGGAAACTGACTTTTGGGACATCATGATAAAAACACTAATGATGCAATAAATTTGTTTTCAGCATAATTATCCTTCATTTTATTCATTATATTTTAAATGCTGTATATCTTAAAATATCTTATATTTTAAATGATGTATATCTTCACCAACTTCATCATATTTAGAATAATAACAAAAATAACAATAAATTGAACTTGCATGTCACCCAGTTCTTAACTACTCTGGGTGGCTCACAGCAAACAAAGACATTACAATAAAATAAAAAAAACATAAAATGTAAACAATAAAGATAAAAGATGGCAAGCATGATGAAGCAAAGAGTCTTCCTCTCCCTCACCAAAGGCCTGGGTGAAGAACCAGGTCTCCACACCTCTTTTCAACAGCAAAGTATGGGCTATCTGGATCTTGGAGGAACCTTGTTCCAGAGGGCAGGTGCTGCTACAGAGAAGGCACAGTTCCAGGGTCCTGAAAGATTACTTTGTTAATTCGAAGGAACCCAGAGTGTGCCAACCCTACAGGATTGAACTGGCCAGACTGATGTTACTGGAGACAGGTGGTCCCTCATGTAAACAGGCCCCATGCTACATAGGCTTTTACAGGTAACAACCAGCACCTTGAATCACACCCAGAAGCAAACTGGCATCCAATGCAGCTCGGGAAGCACAGGTATTAAATAGGCATACAGAGGCATGCCCATTACTGCTCATGCTGCCACATTCTGGACCAACTGAATCTTCTGGATGCTCTCCAAAGGCATCCCCATGTTGAGAACATTGCAGTAGTCAAGCTGCGAGGTGACTAGGGCATGAATGACAGTCTGAATGGCCGCACAATCCAAGAAAGGGCACAACCAATGCATTAAATAGTGTTCTGCAAAGGCCTTCCTAGCAACAGCTGATACATGCTCTTCATGCAGGAGTTGTGAATCCAGGAAGACCCCCATATTGTGTACCAACTTTGAAAGGGGAAGTGCTACCCATCCAAGGTCAAACATGGAATATCCCTGATCTGAGTGGTTCAAACACCCATAGCCACCTGATCTTGGTATGGCTAAGTCCAAGATGGTTCTTCCACATCCAAACCCACAGGTCTTCTAGGCACTGGGACAGAACCTTGACAGCCTCACTTGTCTGGCCTGGGGTTGAATGTTAAAGTTGGGTATCTGTCAGATCCAGCCCAAGAACAGCAGTGAGGCAATCCAGTACAGTTCAGCTCCTTTATTAGCCAGCACCTAATAGACAAAATCTCGTCAGACTAAACCTATGCCCAAGCAACTAGTGACTATAACCTGTGAGCCTCTAAGGAGGGGCCAGCCTCATCTTCTTTGTCTTCCCACACTCTTGCTGTGGGCTGAGGAGGTGCTTGCCCTGGAATGTCTCTTCCCCCTCCTGATAACCTTGAAGTTCCATTCCAGAATCTTCTCTCCTCATGCCATCCATTACAGTATCATCAGCATCCTGCTACTGATGCTGATACTGATTATGCTGATGAAACACACTGCATTTCAAGAAGTTCCTTAACAAACTGGAGCATGTCCAGATCAGAGGAATGAAGATCATAAGAGGACTGGAAGGCATTGAGTATGTTTAGTTGGAGAAGAGAAAACTGCTACTGCAGTTCTTTCAACATTGGATTGCCTTGAAGACTACTCTAAGCTAGAAGTGATACAGGATAGATAGATCAGACCATTAGCTGGCTGGGCTCTTTATTGCAGGATAACAGCTATTTTACAGACATTGCACTACTTCCCAAGCTTCTGGAACCAATTCAAAGTGTTAGTTACTACATATAAAGCCCTATGAGAGGCAATGCTATGTTACATTAGTATTTTGCTTTCCCAGAATGGTCCTATGTAGCCTGTGAAAGAATACTTATGAAGTCCATTGGCTAGTTTAATCTCCAATGATGTCCTTACAGAATAATACTCTGTGGAATGGTGGGGGTTCAGAAGAGTGGTTTCAAGTCAATGTGGTCCAAGAGACAATACTGGGACTCCCAAAGGTAATGCTCATCCTCCTACAGGATCATCAATTGTTGCACTGACCTCATTTAACTGAAGTTCATGATTGTTCAGATTATTCTATATTAAAAATAGTTTGATTCTGAAGTATAGTTGAGTATGCATACCTACTCATTATTTTATCCTTTTCAGGATAATCAGTGTTAATGAAACCACAGTAATAGAAAAATAAATATTGAAGAACAATAAAAATAAAAGCAGTAGATTGAAGAAAAGGAAATTTAACACACGCTAGGATACAACCACATTGTTCATTCTACTTCTCCGTTATTACCTATCCCGGCTTCCACCATGTCTATAAATTGCTCCATAGTTTGCCTTACGGTCTTTGAATGTCAGACCTCACTCTTTTTGAATATCTCAGTCCAGCCATAACTGTCTCAGTTCAATTACTTAGTTATTTTTTTTAATAGCAAGAATACAGAGTAGTCATGGTCCAAGTGGTAATGCCTTTGTTACATCATAACTTGACTAACTTCATATTTAAGCCACAAAATCTGAGAGATTTGTCTGAATGCCAAACTTCTACGAATTTCCTGGCATTTTTAGTTCTGGCTTGCTCTAATATGCTAATAGTTTGTCAGTTCAGTCTGTTCATCTGTTGTGAGATTAAGGAGTTTCCATCATGTCTTCTGATTGCTAGTGGGTATTTGTGGATGTGCTCTGCTAGTCTTTTGACTGTCTGTCCTACAGTACTTTACAATAAGAACATTTGCATAATTTATAGGTTTTAATTCAGAATTTCTTTTGTCTTTTCATTTATTTAACATTGATATTTATAACCATTGAACCAAATTGCATGCTTTCCACTCACTGGACCTCAAGGCTCTGGAGTAAATGCAGGACCTCAAATATATGAAAGATGCAGATATTATAGAATTAGAATCTGGCATTCTTAAGCAGCACAATACATATTCAACCACAGTAACAGCCTCTCAGGGCTATGACAGGACAGGGATGGCAAAGCTATACCAATGATACCTTTGTTACAGAGGGTAATATCATTGTTGGTTTCTCCATGACACCTTAGTGCCATGCTAGTTAACCATGACAGGACATTCTTCACCTGTCTTGCTCTTCACTATCTCTCCTATGTTAATCCATAGGATATAGCTTTATGCTGTACTACTTGTGGAAGTTTCTGTAACAGAAAATGAATCTGCAAAAAGAGGCTCTAAAATGATTGTTTGGATCTTGTCTGTAGGGGAAAAAGCAAAAACAAAAAACAAAACAGACACAACAACATATTAAAAATTAGCTTGAGGACTAAAGTAAGGGGCCTTTCATTCTAGTCCATTCATTCTTGTCCTCTTAGGACAACCTGATTTGCTCTGACAGTACATCTATAAATAAGCGGATTTTACAAACAGTTGATTTTTATCAAGTGTCTCATTCGAGAGAATCTGAGATTAGTAGCTCTGTCCCTGGAATTCCCTTTTGCTCAGGAAATTGTAAAGTATCAACAGTCACTATTAAAAAAAATAAATAAAAAGTATTGGATTCATACTTAGTCATAGACCTCTCACCAAAAGCATTTGTGTTGTCTTGATTTCAATACATCTACTCTAAATACAGTTAAGTTGGTGTAGAACCTAAGATATATTCATAACAGAACCAATGAAATGGATCAAGAATAATTATTCTGAACTGTAACATTGCATGATTAGAATAATTATGATGATCCCCCAAAGGTCTGTCTCCCAGTGGCATCATGACTTTATTACAAAGCAACTTCCCACTAATCAATACCTTGGTATCCAAAGCATGTTGATAAGAGGACCAAACCAGTTTTTAGCAGACATTATGCTGGTGAAAAGGAATACAATCTGATCCTTCCAGATGCCAAAACTGGAAATAATTCTGAACTTCAAGAAGAGGAAAAAATCAAACAAAATTCAACAATAATAGCAATGACGGCAAGTATTACCATTTTCCTTCATCCTTGCTACTTCCTTCATATATTTACCTGAAACATCAAATAATTTGAAGGCTTCTACTAAATGTTTGTGGACAGAACTATGTCATATTGATTTGGAACTAGTTAGCCTACTGAAATTATACTGTTTGCAATCAGTGTCATATGTTGGGAATCATTAACTTCATACTAATCAAAGTCCCACATATTATAGTTTATTATTTTTATTTATTTATTTATTTATTTATTTATTTGTTTATTTATTTATTTATTTATTTGACTTGTCCCCACCCATCTCCCCACAACAG